GGAAGCAAAAATCATATAAAAACAGGGAAGGGGACAAAACATAAGAGGCTCTTAAATATGGAGAACAAACAGGGTTACTGGAGGGGTTGTGGGAGGGGGGATGGGCTAAATGGGTAAGGGGCATTAAGGAATCTACTCCTGAAATCATCGTTGCACTATATGCTAACTAATTTGGATGTAAGTTAAAACAATAAATTAAATAAAATTTTTAAAAATGGGCAGAGGACCTGGATAGACATTTTTTCAAAGAAGACATACAAATAGCCAACAGGTTATGAGAAAATGTTCAATAGCACTAATCATCAGGGAAATGCAAATCAAAACCACTGTGAGATATCACCTTACACCTGTTTGAATGGCTATAATCAAAAAGACAAGAAATAGTGTTGGTGAGGCTGTGGAGGAAAGGGAACTCTTGTACCCGTTTGGTGTGAATGTATATTAGTACAGTCACTATGGAAAACTATATGGAATTTCCTCAAAAAATTAAAAATAGTACTGCCATATGATCCAGCAGTTCCACTTCATGGTATATGTCCAAAGGAAATAAAAGTAAGATCTTAAAGAGAAACCTGTACTCCCATTTTCAATGCATCATTATTCACAATAGCCAAGATATGGAAGGAACCTAAGTGTAATTCTGTGGATGAATGGATAAAGATATTTTATATATATATATATACACACACACACACATATGTATGTATATATATATAACATACATATATATGTATATATATAACGTACATATATATGTGTATATATATGTGTGTGTGTGTGTATAATGGAATATTATTCAGCCATGAGAAAGGAGGAAATATTGCTCTGTACAACATGGATAGGCCTTATGCTAAGTGAAATAAGGGCGTTATGCTAAGTGAAATAAGTCAGACAAAGAAAGAAACAAATATTGTATGATATCATAGAAATGGAGAGTGGAATAGTGGTGTCCGGAGGGCTGGGGTTGGGGATGAATGGGGAGATATTGGTCAAAGAAAGGGTACAGACTTCTGGTTATAAAATAAGTTCTGGGGATCTAACGTACAGCACGGTAACTATAATTAACAACACTCTATTATGAACTTGAAAGTTGCTAGGCGATCTTAAATGTTCCCAGCACAAAAAAGAAATGGTAATTTTGGGAGGTGATGTGGTTGTTAACTAACTTTATTGTAGTGATCATTTTGCAGTATGTCAGTGTCAAATCAACATGTTGTAAAAATTAACTTACATAGTATTATATATCTATCGTATCTCAGTGACACTGGGAAAAAAAGAAATAAAATAAGTTGCTTACCCTTTCACCCTGTCTGTCCCCCCAAATCAGACAGATAATCCTTGGATAGTTCACAGGTTCTCATTTAGGAAGTGAGTTGGAAGAGAGTAGACCAAACACAGAGAAAGCCTGCTTGTGGGTATAAAACTCTTTGGATGGGTATGTTTGTATTTGGGACATGTAATTATCTTATATAAGGGGGAATACCCTACCCTTGTCCCTTTTCACTGGCACAGATGTTGGAGAGTTGGTGGCTAAAAGGAGGAACTTTTGGGAGTTCCTCCATAATGTTTTAAAGTGAAACAAAAGCTAAATTCCCTTGGAAGTTTAACTACACGTGACCTACTCAGCTACTCTAGATTCTATAGCTTCAGGTCAGTGTATTTCCCTTGATATGGAATTGAACATTAGAGGTAGATTATTTTTTTAAAGTATATCATACCTGAAACCAAGATTTTTAAAAAAATACTTATTTATTTTGGGGGGAGTGTAAGTGGGGGAGAAGCAGAGAGGGGGACAGAGGATCCAAAGTGGGCTCTGGACTGACAGGCTGACAGCAGGTAGCCCGATTGGGGCTTGAACTTATACAGACCTTGGGATCATGACCTGAACCAAAGTCGGACGCTCAACCGACTGCCATCCAGATACCCCATGAAACCAAGATTTTTGGTTACCAATCTTATGGTGTAGTAAGTGGAAAAGAGCAACAGACAGAGACCTAGATATCAGAGTTCTAGTGGCAGCTCTGATGTATTTTGTGGCCTTGAGCAAAGGCACCTCACCTTTCTATGCTTATTTCCTCATCTGTTAAATAGTGATAGTAATTTGTTATATTTACCTCAAAGGATTATTGGCCAACTAAAACGGTATAACATGTAGAAGGTCTTTGAAGTGTACAGCATTGTGCAAATATTATAATACAAAACTAATGTTCTTTTGGTCTTTATGTTCTTAAAATTGAAAACAAGTTTAAGCACGTTCCTTTAATGGAACTGCCATCACATAGTATTTAAAATGATGATTTAACTCTGGTAAAACTACTACTATGTGTATAAATGCCATTGCTCTTCTAAATAAGGAGTAAACTTGATGAATACCCAACTTGGTGACTAAACTGTTATTTGTGGTTTTATTTATGATGTGTTTAGAACCTAAGGAAAATATCCTGTCAGATTTAAATGGACCTACAGTAATGCTGGCTATCTGGTTTCTGCAGGAGTTGATCTAGAGCAGTCAAGAAAAGAAGAAGAACAACAGATGTTACAGGATGCCCGCCAGTGGCTCAACAGTGGGAAAATAGAAGATGTAAGGCAGCCTCGTTCAGGGGCCACAGCCCTCCATGTGGCGGCTGCCAAGGGCTACTCTGAGGTCCTCAGGTATGGAAGCAGGGGGTGAATTCGATTTTCAACTATGATGCAATTCTTTCTTTGTTGTTTTCTTCGCTGATCATGCAGTCTTTTCTTATGTTTTGCTGATATGAATCCATAGATGGTCTCCCACCCTCCTACTATCACTTTAGCTTCTCACTGACGTACATGATATAAAACAGAGTTGAGGTAGACTGGCCTAAGAGATGACCTTACATGACCTCTCTGGTTTATCACTACTTTCCCTGCAATCTTCACCTTTGGTGTCAGGTAATACAGGACAGAATCATTTCTGTCAGGTCATTTTGGTCCTTTTTGGACACAGATCATTTCTTTGGCTCTTTAGATGAACTTTACAGATACTGAGTGTGCAGCGTCCAGCTAGACTAGGAGAGTTTAACTTACATGAGGGATTTAGTTTCTACTCGTCTGCCTGTTCCATTTTTCCTTACATCCACACATGCTGGATGTAGCTCTTGGTGCTTACTTTTGACAGGCTTTCCCAAATCGTGGGTAGCTAATAGCACTGTCTGTGTAGTCGTGGCCAGACTCTTCCAGTGCTTCATATTCCACCCACCGTGGGGTTTCCCTGGCCTGGTTGACGTTCTCTGGAGTTCTTTGTGTCTGGAGGCCCGTGATAAAGGGAACCTCATTCAGGCCAGTGCAGTTTGGGACCTCAGGAGTCCTACCTTTCTTCCTCCTTGCACACAGATTATAGCTTTGTAGTTAGCACGAAGTCCCTGTAGATACTTTGCAGGGTTGGAAGTGTGACAGCCTACAGTAAAACGTATAGGGTCCTGGAAAGACCAACTAGAAAGGTAGTAAGCAAAGTGCCCTGAAGAGAATTGAGTTCTCACTTTACATGTTTCTTCCTTCCTGCACTAGAAGTGGAAAACACACCTTGTAACAGAATTATGTGGTTTGGCTAATAGAATTAGGCTTTGGTTAATCTCAAAGGTATATACCTTTCTAAACGTTTGCATCCATGGTGCAACATGGGTGTGCGTAGGAGGTGCCATAGGACCTTTAAGAGAGGGTTGATAACTGTTCTGTATGATTGGTTTTCAGTGTAGTAACTATGAAACCTGAGCTCTGCCTTAGAGGACAGAAATAATCACAAGACCCCAGTGGTTCAGGGCCAAAATCTGAAATATCAATTAGGTGATAGTTTATGTGGCAGAAAACTATAATATAGAGGGTATAAATATCTTGTTTGGGGTTTTCTTCTTAGACTTTTAATCCAGGCTGGCTATGAACTCAATGTTCAGGATTATGATGGCTGGACTCCCCTCCATGCTGCTGCGCACTGGGGTGTGAAGGAGGCTTGCTCCATCCTGGCGGAAGCACTCTGTGATATGGATATCAGGAACAAACTGGTTAGTATGCCCGACCTTCTAAAAGGGCAGTGAGATTGGTGGCTGGGTCTCTAGAACAAAAACTTAAAGTCTCAGTTAAATGGCCAGGCTCACTGTCCAGGGAAACATACGTCACAGGCAGCTATGGCTCTGCTCCCCACATCCTCCTCCCTCCCCCCTGCCTCATTATCCACACCGAGAGGTTTGCTATGTTAAATAAAACTCTACTGACCTAGCATTCTGATTCTATTTATGTTGAAGGCCCTAAAATAAACAGGAAAAAAAGATATTTGCCCTTGGCAAAAATGAGCATTGGAAGTCCTAAGGCTATTGTTTGTGGTGAAGTATGAAAGATGTTATTTTGCTTCATTTTTAATTCAAAGACTTTTAATAGCTGAGCCCTACTCACATCCACTCACTGAAAAAACATTATAATGACAAAGATCCTTGTCTCTGGCTGAAAATAGTGTTGTTGAGCCTCATGTCAAGCAACTTTAGAAGCCTTGGAACTCCTATCCCAAAAATACTGATTTTCTAGGAATCCAGAGACATGGCTTTTTATTTAGTAGATGTTCTTACCTGCCTCACATCTCTCCTGAACTCAGCTTTCTCTCAGATTGTGGGTTAGTGTCCTAAATTGTGCTGACATTTCCTAAAAAAATACCCTTCTCTCACTTCAAGGGAGATGACATGTGCCCTGAACCTCCTTCTGAGGCTTATAAAAGCCCCTTATTGAATTTATCAGAGCAATTAAGACCATTTTAGAACAGGTACAAAGAGAAACTTCAATTGATTATTTGCCAAAAGGCAATAAAGCATTAGAGATGATGTGATACTTTCCTCAATACTGTTTTACAAACTATAAAAACTTGTATTTAAAGGATTTGCTGTTCCTTGTTTTGTTTCTTCCTCTGTGCTAGTTGAAGGCATTGTTATAATGCAGAATAGATTTTAGGGAAGCAGCTATCAATTGGAACAAATGCATAAAGTGAGTATTGAATAGTTTTCCCATAAAGTCACGTGATCGCTGTTTCTGTTTTCTGTTGATCATGGTACCCCTTTTCTCTGCCAGGGCCAAACACCATTTGATGTGGCTGATGAGGGTCTTGTGGAGCACTTGGAGATGCTCCAGAAGAAGCAGAATGTGGTGAGTCTTCAGTTAATGCTTTTAAAGCTCTTGTAACAGTGTAACAATGGGGGCGCCTGGGTGGTTAAGTGTCCAGCTCTTGATTTCAGCTCAGGTCATGATCTCGTGGTTTGTGGATTCGAGCCCCAAGTCGGGCTCTGTGCTGACAGTGTGGAGCCTGCTTGGGATTCTCTCTCCCCCTCTCCCAGCCCCTCTCCCACTGGCGCTTGCTCACTCACTCCCTCTCTCTCTGAAAAATAAATAAATAAACATGTATTTCTAAAGCTTTTATAACAATGCAGTCCACTGCAGATATCTCAATCACTTGTTTTAGTTGTCTACTGAGAGCTGAAATGGACATATCTGCATTTCAGAGATGATCATTATTCCCTTCAGGGACTAGCAATAGTCTGTTAGAAGATATTCCAAAAACCATTGTTGTTAAAGTTTACTCATCATAAGATAGCCTTCAAGCAGCTGAAAGTCAAAAATGACAAGAACAGGTGCGCCTGGGTGGCTCAGTTGGTTAAGCATCTGACTTCAGCTCAGGTCATGATCTCATGATTCATGAGTTCGAGCCCCACATCAGGCTCTGTGCTGTTAGTGCAGAACCCACTTTGGACCTTCTGTCCCCCTTTCTTTCTGCACCCTCCACTCCCGCTCCTGTTTTCCCCCCCTTTTCTCAAAAATAAACAAACATTAAGAAAATAAAATAAAATCTATTTTTAAAAAGATGACAAGAACAATAAGCTAATAATTACCCTTGAATTCTAGAAAGTGAATGTGGTATGTTCAAATCAGTTTTTTCCAAATAGGGAGTACCAGGGTAGAGGACATCTCATTAACTTTTTTCTCCCCTATTGACTGGAAGGACATCTTTATTTAAAGTAAATTCACTACAGAAAGGAATATATTTCTTTCTGAAAAAGCAAACAAGGCCACAAAACTAAAACTGCCTTTTGGCATTGGACAGTACTTGGTCAATGACTCATACTTATTCAGCATTCATCAGATATCCAGAATTCAATCCACTTCTCCTTTCTCATTCTAAATCTTTTATTGTTTGGCTGCACGTACCATTCTGTTGCTTAGTGCTACATAGGAGACCGGTACCCACGTATAGATTGCGGAATGAGAAAACCCACCCAATATAAAGACAAACTGTAAATAATTTACATTTTCTACCCATAAGTGGGATGAGTGATTTGGGCAAAGAGAATAAAGATCAGTTATTGATGATCAGGGTTGATGTTTGAACAGAGTGGGACAGAAAAAAATCACTAGCTTTCCTTCGCATGATTATGGCTCAGGGCATGTGAACTCAAGTTTAGCACCAGTAAGAGAAACGTAGAGCAGCTCTGAAAGAAAGAACTCTATATAGTTCACTGATGGCACAGACCAGCCATGTCTCACCTCACCCATGTTCACTACATCTGCACCGGTAGAGTGAAAATCCTCGTTACTTCAAGGCTTAGTTGGAAAATTGCATGTGTACAGCTCAGACAAACACAACTTCCACTTCGTTTTGTTTTCTTTAGTGAGCAACTGGAATCGAAACTAGAACTTAGGACTTTGCAAACACAGTATTGGTGCTGTTGTTTAGCAGCAGCAACCTTCCTAAGATGTATACTTTGCATAGTTTGGTGGTGGTGTTTTTTTTTTTTTAAGTCCATTTATTTATTTTGAGAGAGTAAGAGAGCATGAGCAGGGGAGAGGCAGAGAGAGAGAGAGAAAGAATCCCAAACAAGCTCTGTGCTGTCAGTGCAGACCCTGACTTGGGGCTTGATCTCTGAGATCATGACCTGAGCCAAAACCAAGAGTTGGATGCTCAACCAAATGAGCCACCCAGTGCCCCTGGTTTTTGTTGTTTTTTTTAAACTTTTTATTCTGAAATAATTTTTAGACTCACATAGAAGTTGCAAAAATAATATAGAGAGTTTCTGTGTACCCTTTACCCAGCATGGTTTGGTTTTTGAACGTAAATAATGTTTTCACTGAATAACATTTCTATGTTGGGAATGGTGCTTATCTTTGCTCCATGCCTAACTTTGGGGTCCAGGGATATAAACACTTGTTGTGCAGAGCATGTATCTAAGGACCAGATGATTTATTCTAAGGGCTTATTTCCCCGTTAGTGCTATTGCCGACCTAATTCAGTATGTGGTCATAAAGAATTCTTTCAGAGTTCCTTCCTTTTTTTTTTTTTCCTAGTCTACTAGAAGCCAGGCTTCCTCTCTTTTTTTTTTTTGTTTTAAGTTTATTTATTTTTTTTTATTAATCTCTATACCCAACGTGGGGCTTGAAGTCATGACCCCCAGATCAAGAGTCACATGCTCTTCCGACTGAGCCAGCCAGGCGCCCCTAGAAGCCAGGCTTTTTTTGAAGATTGGGTTTGGATATTTCATATGGGCAGTTTTATTGAACCTCTAACCCCATGCTTTTTCTCCTACCTTGGATGAAGATTGTTCTCTGTCATTGTCTTCTAAAGAGACCCAACTGATGTGTTTCTCTTTTTCTCAGTTCTTTCTTTTTGGTTTTGGTCCTGTCTTCTTCAGAATGACAGTACCATTTTGAGTTCTCATTGTTGTTAATTTTTACCAGTAGTTAACTTCCCTCCTTTTCTCTCTGTTTTCTCAATTTCAAGCTTCGAAGTGAAAAAGAGACACGGAATAAGCTCATTGAGTCAGACCTGAACAGCAAGTTGCAGAGTGGACTCTTTAAGAAGTAAGACATTCGGAGCTTGCAAAATGTGATGAGCTCTGCTGTGTGTGGGTGCTATGTGTGTGTGACATACTTAGCTTGAGAATTTATATAGTAAAGAAACTGTGTTTGAATCTTTGAGGGGCAAGGAGGTGGCACTGAGATAGGGGAAACACTGAGGATGGATGAATGTGTTTTACATTTAGAAATTAATCGAGACTGTGTGCAACATTTTCCCCCCTGGCTTAGGGGTTCCTAGTCCTCATTGCATCCCTAACTATATGTTCTGTGAACTCAGGGACCATGTGTGTTTTGTTCGCCACCATTCCAGGGCCTGGCATGATTTCTGGCATGTAATAAGCACTCAGTAAACATTTATTAAATGGCTTTTAAAACATATTTGCTTGCTTCATCACCATCAAGATTCATAGCCTTCCTTTTTCCTGTGTGTTGAACAGGTGAAATCTGCTTAAGTCATATTCTGAAGTTAAATACTAAACCTTAGTCTGCAAAAACCCAAAGATCCAAAAAAAATTTAGAATTGAGAAGGATTTGATGTATTTCTATTACCCCTTCTACACAGAGGTTTATAGACTTGTTCTCTTTATGCTTGATTATCAGTGAACTTGAATAGTTTGCCATTTCTGAATTGCACTCAAATCATCTTCTTTAATTTAGCAAAGAGAAGATGCTCTATGAAGAAGAGATACCCAAGTCCCAAGAAATGGAGGAAGAAAGCAAAGAGTCCAGCAGCTCCAGCTCAGAGGAGGAGGAAGGTGAAGATGAAGCTTCTGAGTCAGAAACCGAGAAGGAGGCAGGTAATGCAAAGATCCTGTTTCCATAATGCAAGGAGATCACTGCTTATCACAGCTAGGAGACCTCAGAGGGCTCCAAAAAGAGCTTTAAGTTTAGTTTTCAAAGATAAGATATCCAATTTTGAGTAAAACCTCGGTTGTAAAAGCTGTGAGCTATGTTAGAAATATGTGTACGAGTTTCTATGTAGCCATATGATAAGGTGCACAAAAAATTCTTGTGTATGTAAAGGAACCATCTGTCTGACCTCGGGTTGGTGGGATTGAGAGACCAGATTCCAAACCTCACTATGCTAAGAGACTGAGGAGATGAGGTCTTGCAGAGGCACATTTGGTCAAGTCTCTTTAACCAACTGGTGAAAATTTGCATTTAGTTTTCAGGTTCATCTGATTCCCTAAAGAGAATCCCAAGATCTTTTTATTTTTCCTTCTGATTATGTGAAGCTCCTTCAATTCCTGAGCTGGGGATTCAAGAAGGAACAAAATCATGTTTACCTTTATGACTCTTACTATATATGCTTCATGTGGTACTTCTTGAGTTTATCATATGGCAAGACAGGACCCCCAACAGTGAGAGGGAGCTGCTAAACATGGTCAGATCAGCATGCTATAAAATCACCCATAGGTTTTGATATACAGTCAGGCAAACGCTGAGGAGATAAATACTGGGTTTTACTCAATAGAGGTTCAAAAGCAACACAATAGCTCTCATGGATAATTGGAAGTTCATGATAACTAAGATTTTACCGTACTTGTGTCCTGAGCTCACTGGCTTATATTGGTAGTATTAGTATTAGCTCATCGAATGTCACCAAAGGCAATTAGAGACCATTGACTGTGCAGAGAAGATAAGCACTAGCTAAGTTGGTAGCATGGGAGATGACCTTTTACTCATGGAGCCTTGAATTTCTGTTATTAAGTAGGCACAGCATACTCTGGAAATGCTGATGTAGTACCTATCAAAATTTGTAAGTGCTCATCTTTTTTATGTTTTTACTGTTTTTTGAGTACTTACATATCTTAGGCTTCAGGTATTACTATCTGGTCTTGCTCTGTGCTAGATCACTTTGTTGGCTACCAAGCTGTTAGAAGAATGGGAGGGAGCTACCTGAACTACTATCATTGTTTTGTGGTATGTACCCATGCCTCAGGTCTCTGGTGCCCTGCAGCCCATCTCTACATTGCTTGTTGGAGTCAAACACCCACAGCACCCTTTGGCAGGGGTGATGCTACACCCCTGTCCAGAAACTGTCTACGATCACCTTCCTCACCCATGGCTTTGCCTGTGGAGTAATCCCAAACCCCGTCGCCTGACCTTTAAGATCTTTCATAATCCATCTCCAGCCCACCTTTCCAGTGCTTTCCAGGGCCTAGGCAGCATCATCAACTAGCCACGCTGGATTGTTTGGTTTCCCCAAACATGCCCTGAGCTTTCCTATCCCTGGACATTTATTTGTGTCTTCGAATTCATTTCTGGCCGTCAAGTGCTTATTGAGTGATTTCTGTGAGAAACCATGGGATTTACCACACTGAAGAAGCCTTTCTTTAGTTTTCCTATACAAGAAGCTGAAAAGGAACGGACCACTTCACTGTTCTCCCACCCCATGATAATCGCTCCCCTGTTTGTATCCCTCTAACACTTTTTACTTATCTGTGTTGTAGCACTCCTCATCTCGGCTGGGAACTCTAGTTTATCATTTACTCGTAACTAGGTCTCTGTGAGATGCCAGGCACAGGACAAGCATTCACATTCATTAAATGCTTTTGTTGAACACATCTAGGAGATACAGGGGAATAGGAAGGCAGATACATGAATCAAATACATGCCACATGACAGAGATAAGTGTAGTCAGTGGTATTCACTAGTAAGAAAGATTGTATTTAGGCGCCTGGGTGGCTCAGTGGGTTAAGGGTCTGATTTCGGCTCAGGTCATGATCTCACGGTTTGTGAGTTCGAGCCCCACATCAGGCTCTCTGCTGTCAGCACAAAGCCCGCTTTGAATCCTCTGTCTCCCTCTCTCTCTCTGCCCCTTCTCCTCCTGCTCCTGTTCTTTCTCCTTCTCTCTCAAAAATAAATAAACATTTCAATTAAAAAAAGAAAGATTGTGCTTAGTTTGGGGGATTATAACGACACTTTACATTTGTGTAGTGCTTTTTTACTCTGCAATGCACTTACAACCACATATTTTGAGATACATATCATCATCACTGTATTATTATGGGAAATTGACCCTGTAGGAGGTTAGGCAGATTGGGTCTCATACCTGGCGAGTGGCATGTCTAAGATCCTAACTTTGGTCTGGGACTCCTCAGAGTAGCAGGGGCAGAATGAAATATAGAAATTATTTGCCTAAAATGAGAAAGAATGAAATCATGCAGCAATGTGGATAGAACTGGAAGGTGTTATGCTGAGTGAAATAAGTCAGTCAGAGAAAGACAGATGTCATATGTTTTCACTCATATGTGGATCTTGAGAAACTGAACAGAAGACCATGGGGGAAGGGAAGAGGGAAAATAGTTACAAACAGAGAGGGAGGGAGGCAAACCACAAGAGACTCTTAAATACAGAAAACAAACTGAGGGTAGATGGGGTTTAGGGGAAAGGAGAAAATGTGTGATAGGCATTGAGGAGGGCACTTGTTGGGATGAGTTCTGGGTGTTGGTATGCAAGCCAATTTGACAATAAGGTATATTCATAAAAAAAAAAAAAAAAAAAAAAAAAAAAAAAAAAAAAAAAAAGAAATTATCTGCCTAAAAAGTGACAGCTAAAGCTGTAGAAAAGATGAGATTTGGGGCTCCTGGGTGGCGCAGTCGGTTAAGCGTCCGACTTCAGCCAGGTCACGATCTCGCGGTCTGTGGGTTCGAGCCCCGCGTCAGGCTCTGGGCTGATGGCTCAGAGCCTGGAGCCTGTTTCCGATTCTGTGTCTCCCTCTCTCTCTGCCCCTCCCCCGTTCATGCTCTGTCTCTCTCTGTCCCAAAAATAAATAAACGTTGAAAAAAAAAAAAATTTAAAAAAAAAAAAAAAAAGAAAAGATGAGATTTCCCACGGGAGAGATTGTAGAGAAAAGATGTTACAAAAAAGAATGGTGTGTTTAGGAAGTAAAGGAGGCAAAGAAGGTATGGTCACAAAGGTTGAGGAAAACCAGAGTATGTATTTCTGCATCAGAAAAGCCAGGGTAGGAGTGGGAAGGGAGAGATCAAGAAAGAGACAGCAATTAGGGAGTCACCGGTAATCTGAGCAGTTTCAGGAGCCTGACGTAGGCAGAAGCCAGATGGTCGCAGCAAGCCACCGAGCTCATTTCTGCCATTTGAAGTTTTGCTCATGTCTCAAAGCCCAGCTCCAATCAACTTCCTTTATGAAGCCTTATCATCACAGATACAAGTGTTTCTTCCCTCCTCTGACTGGTAGCTATTCGTTTGAATCTCTTTTTTATTACTTACACTAAGAGTGTTATTTCCATTTATTTATTTCTCATCTCCTCTGTTCTTCCCCTACCGACCAGTTTCAGAAGCACTGAAATGTATTGTGTGTCTTGTTTATCTTTCTGTCTTCCATAAAGCCTGGCACAGGGCCTTCCTTTTACATGCTGGGGTGCTCAATAAATATATATATGTTGGAAGAATTTGGGGAACTGGATTATGTCTAAACCTTTCCAAATGATGCCTGACACATTATGTATGTACTGAACAGGTATTTGTTGAATGCATTTATCCTGGATTTGGTTTTGCATTTATCCTGTTTTTAAAGGTCCATAGATACAACCTCATAAAATGACAGTTTTCATATGTCTTACATATAAATGTATTTGTAAAGAATACTAATTCTATTTTGAGGTGAATGTAAGCTGTTTGATTTGGATTTCTATTTTCCTCTTTTATTTATTTGGCTTAAACATTTGGTATATTAGTTATCTATTGCTGAATAACAAGCCATCCCCAAATTTAGTGGTGCTTAAAACAACCATTTTTATGGACCCAGTTCTAGGAGTTGGCAATTTGGGAAGGGCTTCACTAGGATGGCTGTTCTCTCCCCCATGTAATAATACTGGACTTAGTTATGTGTTGGTGGTCAGTTGGTAAGTCAGCTAGGGGATGGCTGGTCCTGGATAGCCTTGCTCACCTTTCTGATGTTTGGTTAGGATGTTTGAAGCAAGTGTTTCTCTTATCATCAGGGAGACTAGCCACTGCTTCTTCATACGTCAGTTGGATTCCACAAGTAGAAAGAGCAAGACTCAGTGTACAAGCACTTTCCAAGCCTCTGCTTATGTCACATTTGCTAACGTCCCAGTGGCCATAGCAAGTCACATTGCCAAGCCCAGAGTCAATTTGAGAGGTCACTACACAGGGTTATAGATTCATTGGGAGTTTCTTACTGTAATGGTCTGTTGCATTTGGCTAGGAAGGTATATATTCTGGGGATAGAGATTCTCAGGTAATACTTAAAGAATACCTTGAATATTCACAATGACCACAAAAAAAATGATAGCATTAATAACTGGGGACTCATTATGGCCAGACATTGAGCTGTGCAGTTTAAACACATCGTCTCTAGTCTTTTTTTTTTTAATGTTTATTAATTTTTGAGAGACAGAGCACGAGTGGGAGGAGGGGCAGAGAGAGAGGGAGACACAGAATCCGAAGCAGGCTCCAGGCTGTCAGCGCAAAGCCCGATGTGGGGCTCGAACTCACGAGCCGCGAGATCATGATGTGAGCTGAAGTCAGACGCTCAACAGACTGAGCCACCCAGCCACTCCTTGTCTCTAGTCTTTATAGCAACTTGTTGGCAAGAATTAAATCCCTGATTAGCCAGTGAGGAAAATAGAGGTTCAGATATGTTAAGTAATTTGCCCAGTGTCACACAGCTGGGATGTGACTTAAAATTGTCACATAATTCGGGGTTCCTGGGTGGCTCAGTTGGTTAAGCATCTGACTTTAGCCCAGGTCATGATCTCGCAGTTCATGGGTTCAAGCCCCGTGTCAGGCTTTGTGCTGACAGCTCAGAGCCTGGAGCCTGCTTCAGATTCTGTGTCTCCCTCTCTCTTTTCCCCTCCCCCATTCATGCTCTGTCTCTGTCTCTCAAAAATAAATAAAAGTTAAAAAGAAAATTTAAAAATTGTCACATAATTCATAGGTGGGTTACTCTGGGACTCTGTTTCCAGAGTACATAGATCAGAAGGCCCCAGCACACCTACTAGGTGCAGGCTCTGTACTGGTTATCTGATATATAACAGTGAATGAGACAGACAAGATTTCCACTTGATGGCCCTATTAGACGAAGTATTCCTGTTTATTAAGAGGCTTCACCTACTATAGTTCTATGGTTTACCTTATAATATCTTCTGTAATCCTTTCTCCCTTTATTTCCTATTGTAATCCCAAGAATATTCATTACTTTAATTAGGCCTGCTTAAATTAGTCTTGCTTAGACTTAAATTTACTGACCAACAGATGTATTTTGATTTCAGAGTCATTACTCATAGCATTTCTTTCTCCTGCCAATTGGTATTTGTCTTCCAGCTTTCTCTATGGCATCTTTCCTTGTTATTTCCTCCCTCAGAGGGTTTACTCTGAACTCATAAAGCCCTGTTTAATCTGACTCAACCAATTTAGCACCTAACTTATATATGAGCTTGTGTTGTTGCTATTATTATTATGCATCTTATCCCTTTTCTTGATTGTAATTACCTAGAAAGCAAGATCTTATCTGGTTTTTCCTGCCCAACTTCCCAAAACAGAGTTTATTCTTAGTATGTACATACTGATGAGTTTTATGTATGATACACAATATGGAGAAAGTTTTCAGTTATATATCAAGGAATTAGAGCCTACCAAGAAAGGAATACCATTGAGTTTATTTCCTTTTGGCAATAGTTGCTGGAGATTTCATTTTCGTTTGAGTCCAAGCATTACATAGCCCTAATAATCTGTTTTGATAATAGGTAAACCTTTTCTGTTAGCAGAAAAGTGCATACATATACACAGATAAGATTTTCATACTTGCACTTCTTGCTTCTCTTGTCTTAAATAATAGATAAAAAACCAGAAACCATTGACAACCATTCCAACTCTGAAAGCAAGAGTATTATTACGGAACAGATACCAGCACCAGCTCAGAATACCTTCTCTGCCTCTTCAGCCAGGAGAGTGAGTATTTTGGAATTAATTTGAATATTATATTTCCCCTACTATCCTAACATACAGTTTGAAAGGTCTTAGAGATACATTCTTGCAAGATAATTCAGATAGATTCTTGCCTGTCTTAATCCGCTTAGTTTGCTATAACAAAATACCACCAGCCGGGTGCCTTTAAACAATAGAAATCTATTTCTTGTAATTCTGGAGTCTAGGATGTTCAAGATCACGGTGCTAGCTGACTCAGTTCCTAGTAAGGACTGTCTTCCCAGTTTGCGGACAGACTCCTTGTCTCCAAATATAGTCACGTTGGGGATTAGGGCTTCAGGGTATGGAATTGGAGGGTGGGCACATATAATTGCATTTATAACATTGCTCACAAAAACCACAAATCCATCACCAAACAAATTTGGCTACAATGTGTTTAGATAACATAGGATACAGTAATCTGGACCAAAGACATTTTGTCAATTGCCTATTTTCTTCATATCTAAGGCTAAGGTAAATATATGTAAATCTCAGGCTAGGCTACGAAAATACCTAGCATTCGGTATTAATTGACTTGAGGACTTCTATCCTTTCTTATTTCTTGTTTAAAATTTTACTTTAATAAGTAAAGTCTTTATGATGAGTAGTGAGCAGAGGTAGAAAGAACTTGTTGAAATACCAGAGACATCTCCTCCTGCTACTCGGCCCAGGCCTCTGAGATGCTTCTAATCAGTGAGACAGACTTGAATAATGACTCTGCTTTACAAAGTAAACAGTTAGTTTTGAAGTTAAGAATTGATCTGAGTTCTTGGGAAGAAAGCTGATGAAAAAACTCTGGTTTTATAGATACTAACTTACTGATCTTAGTACCTCATGAATTGAAAAGACAGGATTGTGATATCATTGTGGAGATGAGGAAACAAAGGTCTGGTTACTTATTATTCCTAAGAGCATCGTTGTGAATCCGTAGAGATGTTTCAGATAGAACACAGCCCTCACTCATCATCCGGTCATTTAGCTGTACCTCGCATACTCCCACTGCTTCTAGGTGTGACTAGACTTCTTATTTTTTTAAAAAGAAAATTACTCAATTGGGGCACCTGGGTGGCTCAGTTGGTCGAGCGTCCAACTTTGGCTCGGGTCATGACCTCATGGTTTGTGAGTTTGAGCCCCGCATCGGGCTTGTTTCTGTCAGCGCAGAGCCCACTTCAGATCCTCTGTCCATTTCTCTCTCTGCCCTTCCCTCCCTCTCTCCCTCTGTCTCTGTCTCTGTCTCTCTCTCTCTCAAAAATAAACATTTAAAAAATAAATAAAATAAAAATACTAAGTAAAAAAAAAAAATACATGAGCACCTGGCTGGCTCAGTCGGTGGAGCATGTGACTCATGACCTCAGGGTCATGTGTTCAAGCCCCACATTGGGCATACAGCCTGCTTAAATATATACATACACACACACACACACACACACACACACACACACACACACACGGAGAAGGAGAGGGAGAGAGAGACACAGATGTATTCCACTTGGCTAAAATAATGCTGGGAAAAACATTTTTCCTCTCAGAATCAGGGTGACTTGTAAAGAGTTGACATGATTCAGCCTCTAAAGTTGGAAGGAGTACATAAATACGTACATTCAGGTGACTAATTAAAAAGAGAAAATCTGAGTGTGAGCTGGAGGTGAGTGATTTAATGGTTCCATTGCATTTTCGCTACTCCAGGCAGTAAAGGTGGCCTGATAGCTGGAGAAAGATGACAGCCATCTTGCGGAGGGGTCCCCCGATCCCAGGAAAGGACTACTTTCCTGCTCTAAAGACCAGTTGTTCCCCGACTGGTCTTTGGGCTAACACTAAGTCTGTGATGTTTTCTGTGGTTTATGGTAAAATGAGGTAATTAAGGACGCTGTAAGCTTTCCAGAAAGCTTTCTTTTCTGATGTTAAAATGTTTTTCTTTTGTCAATGAAATGATGGTGATGGAAATGGTAATGATGTTTTTGAAAGACGTTCTCCTGGCAATAATCTAAAAGATGGCAACTCTGTGACTTCTACCATTTTTTTTTTCTTTTTTAATTTGGCTGCTCAGTGAAATCTGAAACACATGGCCAAGATCAAATAAACTATTTTCTTGAAATAAACAATTAGAATTTGAGTGGAGTGGCTTTTAGTATTTTTATTAGTATTCACTTACATCAATTTCCCACGGTCTTATCACAGTACCTTAAATCATATTTATACGTTGGCTCCTCTGTGTTTTCCAGTCTCCACACATTATAAGAAGGAATTAAGCTCATTAACACCATTTTATAGATGAGCATGTTGAGACCTAGAAAAGTAAAATGTCCTATATTCAGTTACCCAGTGAATCAAGCAAGAGTAGAGGCTTTTACTAGAATGTGGATCTCCTGGTGTTCTAGGTCAGCATTCATTGCTAAGAGAGCAAATAGTGTTTAATTTCTCAGAGAGCAACTCTGTCTGTGTTACAAATCTAAGGCTATTTCTGGCTCGGGGAGAAAGGGAGCCTTGAGAGGTTATTAGCGTCTGCCAGGTGAGGAAGGCGACACTGGCCGAAAGCCTGCCATGTATTTGTCCTCCTTGAACTGCCTTATATTGCCTCACTGAACTTAGTTAAGTGTGGGGAAAGGCAAATAGACTGAAAAGAATCATCAAGACCTTTTTCCCCCTTCTCTTCTTTTCTTTTCTTTTTTCTTTTCTTTGCTTCTTCCCTCATAGTTCTCCTCCAGCCTTTTTAACAAGCCGGAAGAGCCCAAAGATGAATCTCCTTCTTCGTGGAGACTGGGACTCAGAAAAACTGGCAGCCACAACATGCTGAGTGAGGTGGCCAATTCCAGGGAAGCTCTAAGGGACCGAGGCTCTTCTGTCTACCGGTCATCATCAAGCCCTCGGATTTCTGCTCTGCTGGACAACAAAGACAAGGTGCCGTTTAGGCGGGGTATGGGAGAACTCCAGGGCAGTTCCCTTCTGTGAAAATTCAGTCGTAGGAACGCATGAAAGTGTTTTCTGGTCCCTAATTTGATTCTGGAAGTACAGAGTCTTTAGAAGGAGATGGCACGATGGTAGTTTAATCCAGTGGCTATTTTTTTGCTATTACCCAGCCAATAAAAGGAAAAAATGCTTTACCTTTTGGCATACCTTATGTTCATTCTTCCTTACCCTCCTTACCTAGGGTAAAAAAAATTAGAAACATAAAAATTTGGGTATGGCCTAAAAGGCTCCCTTAAGCCAATACCAGTGATATATTCTTTCAGTGTTTAAAAGCAAAGTTCTTTAGCTGGGCTTTCAATCCTAATGAAGATCAGGCAAATTAGCACTTAAAGAAAAATGTTTAAATGTCTCATTCTTTTCATTACTAGATATATGATCAGGCTAACTTCACAAACAGCTCATCTACATAATCATCCACCATCAGTGCATTTTTATTTCGTACCTTTTGGTTCCAGATTTTCTAGGGCTCACTTGATGCTCTTCTCTGGGGTCAGGTCTTCTTGTAATCCGAGTCCCTTTGCTCGATATTGTGTTTCTGGAGACTCCTCCAGGGGGTGAGGCATATTGGTTGGGTTAATTCCACAGCATATTTGTTGTATGTGAAGCTGCGTTTCCACGAGAAGATAGACTGGGGAAGAAATAAGACTTATTTCATCAAGAACTTGAGAGGGGAGCTTTCTGTCTGTGGCTTTTCAAAGGCTCTCTTGTCTCTCTCGGCAAGGCTGCTGCTGTGTGTAATTTGTGCTGCTGTTTTCCTTATTTGATCATCCTGGCTTTTCCCACAAGAATTATTTCCCTACATATTGGTTTTTAATGGAGGAAAAGTAGGAATTAGCCTTTGAAAGCTAACCTTTTGTAATAGCACTCAAACCGGAATTGGTATTGGATATAGAAATAAGATTATATATGTATATTAAGTTCTGCTTTTTACCCAAAATGTTACACTGAATCAGTATTGTGTTGTACCTCCTCTGTGCTTTACTTGTTTTGATTTTACAGGAGAGAGAAAACAAGAGCTATTTTAGTTCACTAGCACCCCGGAGGCTCAGCAACACAAGTGACGTCGAAGAAAAGGAGAACAGGTAATCCTGATACAGGCCCAAAGATGGTCCTCTTGAACTTTGCTAGGCATGGTGATGTCTTGGCCATCACTCTGCTGCTGTCTTTCCACAGGTGCCCTTAGCACATCATGAATTGTTTTTCCCTTCTGCTTAGCACACCTCCCAGCCTTTACTCACTTGCCTTGCCAGTTCTCTGCCCTTCGGGCTCTCACTTCAGCTTAGATATTATTGTCTTTAGGAAGTCTTCCCTGACCTTGCCGAGGGTGAATTCATTCTGGTACACCAGCAGGCTCTGGAAGGGTAGGGTTATGTCTGTCTAGTTTCGCAAGGACCCCCTAGCGCCTGGCACATGACCTGTTCCATAGTAAACACCAGAAATATTGTTATTTAATTAGTGATCAACTTCTAATTTGTACGTAGATAAGATTTCAAGTCTTCCTCATCGGTTAAAATGAATGTGAGGATTTTGAAGTACTGCTGCCTCTCGGAGCAGAGCCTGACCTAGAACCTTGCATTTCGAGGTGGGGTCCTCCGCACCAGCAGCACTGATGTCACCTGGAAGCACGTTAGTAACGCAGAATCTCAGGTCCCACCTCAGACCTGCCGAATCAGAATCTGCATTTTAACAAAATTCTCTGGGTGATTCACATGCACATTAAAGTTTGAGAAGAACTATTCTGGAGAGCTTTGTGAAAGATGGAGACCCACAGCTTTTGTAGCCACAGGCCTGAGGGAACAATTATGGATTAGAAATCCTACTGTAGTCCTTTCCTGGATGGCTTATTATTTGTAACACTAAATAGGCTTCCAGCAATTTCTTCCGTTTCCTCTTCTGTGGTAGTTACCTCTTGCTCTGTGACAGACTTTATCTTCCCCACCATCCTCTTCTCTGCTTACTTATGAACAACCTATTGCTTTGTAAAACCCTTTAAAGGAGAGACAAAAGTGACTTCTCATTACAAAAGAGTTGGGAGATCTATGACATAAGGATTTGGTACCTATTGAAATTAGTTAGCTTTGAAGTTGATAAAAGAAAGCAGACAGTAATACTAGACTCCTCCTCTATCCATAAAGAAAACAGGTATATAAAACAGAGTATTACTTGAAAATGTATCTATTTCCTCAGCCGTATTACATTTTCTCTCTCTGGCTCTTCTCTCCCAGCTTGCACTGTATCGGGGACAAAACTGGTGGTAGGAATCAGTGTTCTGTTTTGTTTTTCTTTTGTGCCTCTACAGAGAATCAGCTGTCAATCTAGTGAGGAGTGGGTCCTATACTCGGCAGCTGTGGAGAGATGAAGCGAAGGGAAAGGAAACTCCGCAGACAGCTGTTCCATCCACCTATGTATCAACCTACTTGAAAAGGTACCAGGCTCCCAGGGGTGGGAGATGATTTTTCTTCACTCTGGCCATGGGTATATGGGTCATAATTGCATGTCGTCTTATATCCAATTAGCACCACAAAAATGAATCAAAAAATGGATTACTTTTAGATTTCTTGGGAGTAACGCCTTGACTAATTTTAAATTAACATTAATTTATTTTCCTGAGTTAAGGTAAGCTAATTCCAAATTCTTACCACAGACAGATCTGAATTTATGCTCTCTCCTCTCAGTCCTATTAAAGTCTTCAACTGGAAAGTGACTTCTAGTAATCTCTGAGTAGGACTGAATTTAAATCACTTTTGTCCAGTAGCTAGCTTTCCTTTTTCTAAAACTCGAGTAGTTCTCATCTCGTTACATTTTCGTGGGGAGGAAGGGAGGGACCCTGTAGGGTGGTGAGGGGGGAGGGTAATGGGGACAGTTTTGTATTGCATTAAAGAAGTTTCATTAATTGAAGCCTGTTAATTTAGGGACTTGAGTCTTTTTTTTTTTTTATGACTTTAATGGCCCTCAGATCCATCAAGATGAGAAACTCGCAAGTTTGGTGCAGAGAAGGTACTTGGGTTTCCTTCCCTTTTCTCATCTATATTGTCTTTTCTGCAATTATTTCTTTGCCATGTACCAGCCAGCAAGCAAAGCACCTTTGCCAGAGCCATTAAGCTATAAGATATACTTAATTAGTATATTAATTTGAACTTTGCTGCTGATGTGGAAGAATCTGATTCTCATTGCTTACTTTGAATTCTTTCTTCACTTTCATTTACTCAGCCCCTCCAACTGCCTCTTCATGCCATGGGCTTCATCTTTAGGTTTTATAGATGATTGGTTGGCTGCCCTAGAAACGGCCTTTTGTTATAAACTATGTATTTGGGTTCAAAACTTATTCCCACTTGATCAAAAGAATCTTATCAACTAGTTAATATAAGAACATGGGAACTGGTGACCTATAAAACAAACAGCCACTGTTGCCTTTTAATGGTCTTTAAGTTCTGCAGACACATCCTGTAAGAAAAGGCTCAACTTTGAAGGTACACAAGTATAGTTCAGTGACCTCACTGAAGCTTTATTCAGTATACAAACTCAGTGTTTTTGGCTCAATGAAACTATCACCTCTTTGTCTTCAAGGCTACGGCCTTAATCCATCTAGATACATTATTACTCCTCATAGTTGCATCCAAGACCAAGAAAACTTTTCGAAGAAAACGATGTTCTAGATCTAGGAAAGAGAAAAAGCTGCCTTTTAATTTCCTAACACATAGTTACACTGTGGTAGGGTAGAGTTGTTCTTTTTCATGATCCAAATCATTAACAAATGGATTGAATGAGTAGCATCTGGTTGAATGTAGTTTGGCATAATTATGGTAAACAGAAGAGAAAGGGACTGCCTCTGTTTAGGGTGGAAAGCATGCTTAATAATGTGAGTGCTTTTTGAAAAAAGATCTACAACTTGCTTCATGCTTTGGATTTCCAAACCTCTATCACCCTTTAAGCATTTTTTAAAATTTATTTATTTTGAGAGAGAGAGAAAGAGAATGCATGTGTGGGTGAGTGGGGGAGGGGCAGAGAGAGGGAGAGAGAATCCCAAGCAGGCTCTGCACTGTCAGCATGGAACCCAACGCAGGGCTCAGTCCCACAAACCATGAGATCATGATGAGATCATGACCTGAGCCAAAATCGAGAGTTGGACGTTCAACCCAGTGAGCCACCCAGGTGCCCCATAAGCATTTTTTGATTGTATAAAATCTCATTTTATGATCTTTTCAAAAGGGAAGAATCATATGCTATCACTAATTTAAAAAGAAAGCACAAGAAGATATGTGGCAGCCTTGGGCTGTGCTGGACCTCAGCATACTTTCCATTTTCTAGTTCACCTCTTGTCCTTAGGCAGAAATTCCTTTCCTATGTCCCTGTAAAATGCATCGTTACCAAAGAAGACTTCATAGCTTATTTTGCTCACCCCCTGTAGTATGTCATTACTGTAATAGTCAAGGAGTTTTTGGTTTTTTTTTTAATTCTAACCCAAATAATTTTTTTTACTTCAGTTGAGGTGGTTCCTACTTATCTTCATTTGAAACAAGAAAAAGTTGCCTTCTATTGCCCATGCAATATTACTTTCTAGACTTCAGCCTTGGAATCCTCCCAAAGATGTGTTTGTTTGAGGCTAAATAACCACGGTTCTCAGAGATGTGTTTTCCCCCCACAGAGCTTTTTATTCCTTTCCACTCTTTAATTTTAAATTTCTACTCCGAAACCTCTCCAAATTCTTGGTCTTACTTTAGCTTCTGTGGGGCTACTTCTGCATCAGGTAGACATTTGGGGTTGCATGATTTTTTGCCTTGGGGTTTGTCGGGAATTACTTTTTCTAATACGATTATTCTATTTCCTAATATTTCTTTTTCTTAGCCTGTATTCTATTCCAATATACTACTCTTCTGCTCTCTCTTATTGCATATTATCTCTCCTCCCCATTCCTTCACTCTTTTGGATGATTGACAGATGCCTGCTTGCTGCCAGTGACCCAGCTCTAGCTGGAGTTGGTCACTCCACTTCCCAGTTGCCATACCCTCTCTTTGGTCTACATTCCTTTTAATGCACAATCTGGGGGGAAGGTGGTGCTGGGAAATGGTGGGTGAGCAGCACGTCCTGAAGAAAGTGACTGTGTACTGTTTTGCAGTGCTTCATTTGGTAGAAGTAGTGACCCCACAAGTCCCTACATTTCAGCCAATCGCAATTCATCTCCTGCTACCTCACCCATTACCATTGGTTCATCTACCTCTCGGGGCAGCAAGTGGCAACCTGCCTCTTCTTGCCCTGCACCAATCAGTGCAAACACTACTGCATCTGTACACCATGGCAGGTAAGGCTTCTTGGAGCCATTTGAGTTACAGTCATCAAAACTAACGCCTCTGGATACACATATGAGATTTGAACCAAAGAGACTTTGTCACTGTGGAAGCACGTGTGAATTCCTGTGAAAATGTCTATAATTTAACAGGGATGCTTTTGTTTTGACTTGTATTAGCCAGCCAACAGTTGCTCATTGAATAATCATAGGGTACATATCTTTGTACTGGGTGTTTAGGCATCAACTTAAAATGACTGCTTTCGTGTGGTTACAATGTAAGGGTCATCCTATTATGGTAAAGCACAGACTAAAAATATCCTCATACTTCACTGACATTAATTTTCCTATAATCGTGCATAGGAATCTCTTCTATTTACTCTGTTTTTGGAGGATGGTATACCAACCCAAATCAGAAGGAAAGCTAACTCATGTTCCAAAAGCTTCCTATAGCTTTCTGAAAATTCCCAGCCAGTGAGAGCGTTTTGCTGGAAACACAGGGGGAAGGAAGAGATTTGTGTTTGTGTAAACTTTGTTCCGGGGCAGTGGTGTCTACTCCGTGTAAGGGGAAGCAGGGAGGCAGCATGGGCGGGGCTTTGTCACGAAAGCGCAGTGGGACTTTAGCTGTGATTTTGACTGTGGCTTTCAACCCTTTATATGTGGTCAGAGACCTTTTCACTTTGGGGCAGGGCAAAGGGACCTCTTTTTGGGGTCTCGCTTCTAGAACTGATACAAAGAAAATGAAAAACATAAATGATGATAGTGTTGCCGCAAGAACACTGCTGATGGTGGTGCTTCACTGATATTTGTCTGTTTATTAGAATTCTTTCCCTAAAATAAGTGGTGATCATTTGTTTAGCCAGGAGGGATAGGCTCATGACAGATTGTTAATAATAATACTGTACAATTTTGTAGAAATTTATTAGGTTCTCTTAAGAGTTCTGCACAGGCATACTAAATATTATGCCCATAGATGAAGAAACTGACACAGAGAGGTTACTGGATTATTAAGAGCTGGGACTAGGAAAAACCAGTAACAGCTACCATTTGTTGAACCCTATCATGTGCCAAGCATTGGCTTAAATACTGTACAAAAATTACATAAGCATTCGGTTTACACTCATGTAACAGTAAATCCAAATAATTGAGGCTTAAATATGATACAGGTGTATTTTTTTTTCTCTCACTTAAGAAAGTCCAGAAATAGGCAGAGGTACCACCACAACTTCAGAGTCATTAAAGATCCTGAATCTTTCTGTCTTTCTGCTTCACAGTCCTTAGATTATGGCTTCCATTTCCATGGGTTGTCTCATGGCGCAAAATAGATGCTGAAGCTCTAGCTGTCATGACTGCCTTCTAGACAGGAAGAAGGAAGAAAGGGGGAAATGCACAAAGAGGGAATGCCTTTAAACTGAGATTATGCTTATATCTCACTGGCTACCTCTAGCAGCCAGGGAGACTTTGGAAAATATGAATTGTTAACTACATATGTTGCTTCTCTCAATAATATATGGGTTCTGTTAGTAAGGAGAAAAAAGGAAAATGAATATGGGTTAGGCAACTAGCTATCTCAGGCACACGTGTATTGTTTATAAAGAGGCCTCCAGTATATGAAATACCATTCTCACTTTATAGATATGGAACCTGAGACCCAAAACTTAATCACCTGCCCAAGGTCACACATCTAGTAAGAAACTGAGGCAGGGGTTGAACCTAGATTTGTCCATGTCAGAGCTCCTGTCTCTTTCACTATTTTGTTTCCACGGAGCTTATATGTTATTCAGGGCTGTATACTAAGTGTTCTACATACGTTATTTTATTTATTTATCACAAGACCCCTACACATTAAGGTACCATTAACCCCATTTTACAGATGAAGAGACTAGAGAAGTTAACTTGGCTAAAAGGTAGCCCCACATGGTTCCAGAGCCTCTGGCCCCTGCTCTGGAGCTTTTCCTGTTCTGCTCCTAACAAACTACTTATAAAATTACTCCGCATTTCAAAATAATAGTACAAGTCCTATCCTGTAATTTATTAAAATAAAATCCTTGGCATTTCTACAGCAGGAAAAATTGCAGAGAGAACAAAACATGATATTAACCTAGAAAGAATTTTAGGTAAGGTTTTGATAAGTGTAATTTTCTATAGCTTTGTTTCTGGCTAATTTTATTAGCTGTCCTGTAGACTTATACATCTTATAAGTCTGAGGAATTTAATTTCACCTTTTTTCTGAGTCATTAATTGCTCCTGGAGAAGTGGCTTGTGTTTTTTAGATACCACTTCAAAACTGTTCTATTTTTATATTTGCATATATAGGTACCATATTTAGATTTTTACAATCTGATTATTGCTTTCAAGCTTATTCTAATGATGTGATTATTTGAAAATGAGCTTATAGCTACTTAGAAGCATTTCTGGTAATTCTGAGTAGGTGAAAAAAACAGATTTTTAGCATTCATTATTTTCATTGCTTTTCCCATCTCTGTGAATATCAATTTTGGATCTCTGTTACCCCAGCAACAAGCTGTGACATCACAAATGATAGCTTTTTGGGTGGAGAGCCAATGGTTGCTCTCAACTCTTTGTTAAGAAACAAAGATCTTGTTTTCATGTAAATGAGTTTAATTATACAGCTTGCTGTTGGAAAATCTGTAGTTAAGGTTACATATAGAATCTTAATAGTTTTTATTCCTGTTGCTCATGTGTACACTTAAGAATACAGACAATTAGGCATTTGGTTAAATGGGAAGAAAGCAGTTGCTGAGCTAGGTGCAAGAGAACTGAACATACTGAGGTTGTATTTATCAAATATCTCTGGAATCCAAGAAGATGGTCATCTAATCTAGGCTGAGGACTACCACAAAGACTCTCACTGCCAAGAATTAAGGGGCAGGTGGAGACTAATATCGTAAGTGACTTTAGTGTTGTTTTCATGTGTGTGGAGAGACCCTGCTTCTGTATGCGTGTGTGGAGACCAGATGGTACTCAGGAATCATTTAAAGCAGTCTTGCATATGTTACTATCTTGCCTGGTGCCCTAGCTAATTTTTAAAAAAATTTTTAATCTCGGGCAAAAAAAAAAAATGTTCATGAAACAGAACTCTTTGTGCAGAGGATATCAGACTTAAATGTATCATCATACTGTTCTAAGATTTAAGAGCTCAGAATTAAAAAAAATAGTCAACCAACAAACAAAATCTGAGCAAGAAGATTCTGTAGTTAAACTTACCTCCAGCCCTTTGTGTGCTAGTGCTTTGTGATGTAGCATGCCTGACCATTCTCTTTCTGCTTGTGTTTTTGGGTTTTTTTGTTTTGTTTTGTTTTGTTTTGTTTCAGGACTCCTTACAAATCACAGGCTGACTCAACAGCAGAGAAAACAGCAGACAATGTCTCTTCCAGCACCCCGCTCTGTGTGATCACTAATCGCCCTCCACCTAACACTGCCAATGGGGTTACAACTGCCACTCTGCTCTCCACTCCTGGAACAGACTCCTCTGTGGAAGCCAGGGAGAAGAGGAGGTATGTTATGTACTGATTTCATTTGTGGGGTTCTGCTTTGAGGTAGGAGATACAGCAGTGGGTGTGAAGTCTTTCCCCTAATCCCAAATACATTTATGAAAGTAGATCTTTATATTATAGTTTGGGTTTTGTATTTTGCCTCCGGGAGATTTTTGGCAAAGATCTTAATTATTTCTGATCATTTAATAAAGATACTTATTCTGTTATGAATAGAGGCATATCTTTTTTCTATTTTTCTTATAAGAGAAATCATGGTCAGGCGTTATTTCCCCATTTTGTGATGGAGAACATGAAGCACAGAAAAGGATCTTCTGTTTTGTTCTGAGGAGTCCGTGAAGATTTCTCTGGCAGCAAGGAAAAGCGGTGGCATGATAAAAGGCTCAGAGAGATAAAGCTAGGATGTAAAGTTTTAATTAATTTAAGAATACCAGAAAAGGAAGCGCATAGTATGTGATGACATGGTAGAAGGATAGTGACTGGTTACTCTACAGTTTCTTTAGAGAAAAATTATGAGAGAGCAGTCATGAATTGGCATAGGAGAGATTTCAGGTAGAATCTAAGAATAACTTTTTGGTTGTCAGTTTTTTTTTTTTTTTTTTTTTTAATTTTTTTTTTTCAACGTTTATTTATTTTTGGGAGAGAGAGAGACAGAGCATGAACGGGGGAGGGGCAGAGAGAGAGGGAGACACAGAATCGGAAACAGGCTCCAGGCTCTGAGCCATCAGCCCAGAGCCCGACGCGGGGCTCGAACTCCCGGACCGCGAGATCGTGACCTGGCTGAAGTCGGACGCGTAACCGACTGCGCCACCCAGGCGCCCCTGGTTGTCAGTTTTAAGAGACCTTGGAAGATGTAACCAAGAATAGGATGTTTTCTCCACCTAAAAAAGTGTAAAAAAATAGAGTGCCCTCCATCTGGCTGTTTTAAAAACTCAAGCCATGCTTAAGTTTTTAAGCACTAGAAATGTCTATATGCATAATAAATCAAGAAGTCTTACCATCTATAAGATACAAGTTAAACTTACTTTAATTTATAATTCTTTTAAAAAAAATTTTTTTAACATTTATTTATTATTGAGAGATAGAGACAGAGTGCAGAGAAGGACACAGAATCCAGAGCAGGCTCCAGGCCCTAAACTCTGAACTGTTAGCACAGAACACGACATGGAGCTCGAACCCACAAGCCGTGAGATCATGATCTGAGCCGAAGTCAGACACTTAACCGAATGAACCACCCAGGCATCCCAATTTGTAATTCTTGAGAAAGAAAGAAAGCGGAAATTGGGGAGGGGCAGAGAGAGAAGGGGACAGAGGATCCAAAGCAGGCTCTGTGCTGACACCAAAGAGCCTGACGTGGGGCTTGACCTCACGAACTGTGAGATCATGACCTGAGCTAAAGTCAGACATTTAACCGACTGAGCCACCCAGGCACCCCTTGAATTAAACTGTTTAGATGTTTGTTTATTATAAAGACAGTTCTAAAACACAATTTGAGAAGAAGTGGAAGGGAGATGTTAAGTGAATTGAAAAATAGTGTTTCTCTTCTTCCTTTCTTTTCCTTCCTTTCTTTCCTTCCTTTCTTTTTTTCATTTCTTTATATAAAAGTTGGAGAAAATCCATTTTCTGGTTTAACAGATTGCAGAGCATCATCTCTTAGTTGGTTTCCAGACAAGGAAATTTTAATAAATCAATCTTGAATATTTAATGCTTATAAATTTAATAGCTCAGTTATAATTTAGATACTATTAGTTTCATCTAGGAATAAATGCAAAAGTAATATTTTCATTAGCTGAGAAAAACTCCCTTTAAAAAAATCCTTCTGGGCTGAGACAAGTAAAATGAGTTAAATTCATCTTTAAGATCATGATCCCTGAAAGGATGGGTAAGTCAGGTTTTTAATCAAATCACATTATTAAATACTTAGTTGCATGTATCATTATTTAGAGAAACCTAGAGAGACAGTTACTGTCTTCTGGGATTTTTATAACCTATGAACAATAAGATAGCACCTGCTACAGATTTTAATTTTGTTTTAGGAGTTTTATTTAGGCCACAAATATTTATTGATTAGCTATTATGTACTGCATATTATCACTAGGACATAATTCCTCAAGGAGCAGCAAATAGAAGAATAAAAGAATATAAATATAAGAATAAACCAAAATTTCAGTGAATTATGTGAATGTGGTATATCAAGTGCATTTTCAGGATGGTGCAACATAATAAACAAGATACTAGATATTTATTAGATAACAAATAATATTTAATTAGAGAAGTTAAATAGGGTAATGATACAAGATAAGTAAATAGGAAGTTATTCGATAAAGAGCTGTTGGACTCAGTCACTAACATTCATTCTTGTCAAAATATTTATTGAGCATTTGTCATTGCAAGGTACTATAAAAAAAAACCCAGGTGATACAGCCATAAACAAGAACAGCCTTAGCCCTTGGGAAACAAATATGCTAGTGAAGAAAAACAAACATTAAACAAATAATTGTGATATATACTATGAAGAGGTAGTGTGAGTTGTTACGACAGTTTTACAGAAGATCCGCCTACAGAAGACTCCCCTTTTCCTGCAGGATCAGAGACGGTTATCCTAAGAGTATCCTGCTCAAATTGAGATCTGTAGGACAAATATAGCCAAGGGAAGGGGTAAGCATTCCAGGCAGAAAATATGGTTGTTGGAAAGACAGACACTAAGGTAGGAAGGTGCTTGATCCTTTGGAGAATCTGAAAGAAGACATTGTAGAGAGTTAGGGAAAGAGCAGTCTAAGGTGAGGCTTGAGGAGTAAGTAGGAGCTATATAATGCAAAGTCTTACAGCCAAGGACAAAAATTTTGGATTTATATGTTAAGAACCATGTTGAGTTACTGGAAGAATTTTTTTTAACAGCTTTATAAAGATAAAATTTATATACCATATAATTTAAGATGTCCAATTTGGTCACTTTTAGTATATTCACAGATATGTGCATCCTTTACCACAATTTTAGAACATTTTTATCACCTTAAAAAGAAATCTCATACCCTTTAGTTATTGTCCCCCCCTACTCCCACCCCATCTCCCCATTCCCCCATTCTCTAGACCTTAGCAACCACTGATCTCCTTTCTATTTCTATAGAGTTGCCTATTCTGGACATTTCATAAAAATGGAATCAATATGTGGTCTTTTGTGACTATCTTCTTTCACTTAGAATAATGTTTTCAAGGTTCATCCATGTTGAAGCATGGCATGTATCAGCACTTTATTCTTTTTTATGGCCAAACACTGTTTCATTGTGCGCGTATACTGAGTTTTTTTTGCTATTCATAAGTTGGTGGACATTTGGATTCTTTCCACCTTTTGGCTATTTGAGTAATGTTACCATAAACATTCATGTACAAGTTTTTGTGTGGACATATGTTCTTATTTCTCTTGGGTATATACCTAGGAGTCAAATTGCCAGGTAATATGCCAATAGAAGATTTTAAGCAAAAAGATAACATGATCTGACTTACATTTTTTAAAATTCTGGCTTCCAAACTCTGGTTATATATTCCATATGGATTGGACAGGGGAAGGATGGACAGAAGTAGACGTGAGATGACCAGGAAGGAGACCATTGCAGAAGAAAGTTGCATAAGAGAGAACGTGGCTTGCACTGAGATAGTAGTAAAAGAGATAGAGAAAAGTGAATGGACTCAAAATTTATTTAAGAAAGAAGTTCTAGTAACATGGTAGATGGATTTATAAGGACCTCTTTCCCATTACAAACATAGGAAAATATAGGTGAGTTCAGAAAAGTGAAAGGGAACTGCTAGGTAAAAAAAAAAAAAAAAAAAATGAAGTGGCTAATGTAGTAGACCTTAGAATTTGGAGGCTCAGATTTTCATGAGGTGTATGGATGTAGGAAGCATGGCTTTGGACTTGAGTAGGCTAGGAGCTGTAACCAAGAGAAGCTGGAGCTCTCAAAAGACTGCCCAATTCATGAAAAGGGTACTTTATCTATGGCCTAAAGAAGTGTCAAGGATGGGGCTTATCCAAGGGTCTGAACAGGGACAGAAAAATCATTTGTGGGTAATTTTTACTCCCTATATAGTGTGGAAATCCCAAGCCAAGAGGTTAACATAGAAATTAGGTCTGCACTCTTGAAACTGGGGCTGTTGGCACAAGCAATTTAAAGCCACCATGAAGAAACACATCGACAAACCAGGGTACAAGGGGTTCCTATAAAACAATTGCCTACCGAAGACAAACTTGCATAGAACCTTATAAACACTGAAGGAAATGAATCACTGTGACAGAGCTAACAGATGCAGCTTCTCAGATATATTCTTAGAAGTATTACATGCAGGTCAGTACTTAATAGAAGTTTTGAATGCAGAACAGAAACCTCAAACTATTATTTAAATTGGAACCAATAATTAGAAGTGACCAATTATACTAAAGATAGACAGACACATCTATAAAAATGGTAATTTAGTCAGAAGTGGTTCCTAGAATAAAAGATTTTATAGATGTGTTGTATCTATATAGACTCCCATTTAAATGGGAAGCCGTGTATATAAAGCACCTAACAACCATTAAGAGCCTGCCATGTGGCAGGCACAGTGTTTAAAGATACAAGGTCAAAGAAAAACATCTTTCCTGTCCTTGAGGAGCTTAACTTTATCTATTGTGGGAAGGCAAATAAATCACATAATATCGTCCATTGTTAAGTGCTCTGGTAAAGATATGTATAGATTGATATGGTGGCACAAAGAAGGGGAATCTAAATTCAACCGAGTAGGGTGACAGAGAACGTGTGCTAGAGGAGGTGGCTGCAGGTGAATTCTGAAGGCAACTAGAAGTGAACTATAAATGGTAATAAGAGGATGATATTTTAGAGGGAACGGGAGAAATTCAGGGAACAAGTTCAATATGCCCAAAGCTGGGAGAAGGCAAGGCCAGTGTAGCATTTCTGAAAGTGTCTATGTGAAATAGATTTAGATGATTTGAAAAAAAAAAAAGCAGCCTG